GAGCCAGATTTAATAGAGAAAATGTACCATTACAATCAACACTAAAGCAGTATCTTCGTTTGCTCTAGTTTTATTGATCTGGTTTTGACAAAATTGACAGAAATCTTGAAAAAATCATATGCCTATTTTTGTCTGTTTCGATTGAATATCTTCTTTAATTCTTTTGCAATTGATGCATATATATTTCAAAAACTAACCAGTCGTCCATTAATGATTCCTAGACTCTCAAGATACGACTTTGTCATTGTTATGATGATAAAACATGACAATTTTAGGATATTCTATTTTTGATGCAGGATATATCTGATAAAATTTACAACTCAATGTCATTAGACATCTACGAGAAAGTAATAAAATAAAGGGAACTAAAAGTTTTTTTTCCAAACTTCATGTTCGAAAGATGATGTTTGTTTTGTTTGCAAGAGTAACTTCACCTACCGGAGATGATCCTACTTCTTTTCTAACACTTTTCCCATTTTACCATAAATAGAAAAGATTTCAGGAATTTATAATAGTTTTTATTTCTGTTGGACATGTAAAGAATATTAAGCTTTCTAACTCTTCGTTTTGCAAGCAAAGTCAAAGTTTGTGAGATGATTTCGTTGTAATTTCTATCGAATTACAATGTATTGTGTGTGTGTGTGTGCATCGTCTGCTCATAGATATCTCGATTCATATATCAAAGATTATTTGTGTCGCTAATAAATACCTGTCATTCTATTTTTATCGACAGATATCTGCAGTCCTCCATGTCTCAATGGCGGTATATGTTCGGTGACAAATACATGCATTTGTAAGTGATCTAACAATTATTTTCTCTTCAAAAACTCTTGCTATAGGTGATATGAATATTTGGCAAGGTTTGCAATGTCAAACACGTATGTTATAGTGTAATTTTTCAATAGAACTTCTCGTTCCCAACTTCTTCTAGAGGTTCACATCTTTTGGGATTTCGATGGTAGACTCCAAGATTTATACAACAATTTTAACGGAATGGGTCAGAACGAACCAGCATTTGCTTCGCCAGGTTACAATGGAGCTGGATCGTGTCTTTTGCTAAGCCAACTTCAGCAACAATCAGTAACGGTGAATACTCCACCATTTCTGAACATGAGCTTTACATCATTTACAGTCGAAGTATGGATATATGCGAATACACTGTACAATAACAATTCTTTTATGGATAATACCATATTTGGTCAGTTTCAACAAAATACAAGTGATCATTCTTTATACCTTACGATTCGCAATCAACGCATCTATTTTGGTTTCTTCGATGATGATATTCAAGGAAATCAGGTGAGCGACGACAACCAAGAGTTAAAATCAATCTGGTAAAATTGGTCCAATTGAAATAGTTAGATAGGTCGATATTTTCGTCGGCTTGTACCGCTGTAAAAGGTTTTTTTGTAATGATCGAGTTGCATTGATCTAAATTTTCGATTTAACAAACTGAACTAGTTAAAATTTGTTGAATAATTATGACCATTCGTTGAACTCAATTTTTGTTTTCGGAACATGTATAAATGAATCGAGAATATGACTCATTACAACGTAAGCATTTCAGAAAAGACAAGTCTAGAAATTTATAAGTGTTGATTACGACGTTTTGCTTTTAACATCAATTGTATTTCTTGTAATTACTTTTTGATTTCGGCTGCTTTTACCAGTCTGAATTCAATTTAAAACCAGTCCAATTATCTCTACATCAGTTACACTTGTGCGATAATCCAACCTTACTAGCTTAATTAGATTTGTGACTATGTGACAGCATATGAAACAAATGCTTACAATACATTAGATCCAGGATCCTTCTTGTTCGATAACTTTTTATTTTGTTTAGATATTGAATGCAAGTAAGTGGTATCATATCGTAAGTGTCGAGTGGAGTAGTAAATGCAAAATCGTTTTTCGATTATTATAGGCATATATTTATGATTATCCGTCACGAACACAGCTCATCTATGTCAATGGCTATTTGGATGCTTCACGTACTTCTGCTGGTCCATATCAGAGTACATCAGGGTAAGCAGCCATTAGTCATATTCAACATCTTAGGGGTTGTAATAGTAACTAGTTTTCTAAGATTCAAAACACTACTTGTTTTCTTTTCTATGAAATAAACAGTTTTCATGATCAAGGATGAATTGCATCAATGATTATTTTTCAATGGGAAATAAGACTACATATATCGGTTGAAAATTCTAGAAGGAGTTCGAAGACAGATAGTTTGATGTTTTCGAAGTAACGTAGGCTCTGAGAAAAATACACTGAGATGCTCTCTGTGAATTTCATCTGTAAGTTTTGAGACTAATATAATTTACAGGAAAGGAAGTCACTTTCATTTGAGGAATTCAAAGAATACACTATAACACAATTCTTTTAGCTTTAAAGAGCACTTAAAAATCATTTTTTTACACCGTTATCTTTTCTATTCAAGTATGGTATACTTGAATACAGCCTATATCACAATATTGTGAACAAATTTTTTATAAGATATTTTATTGACCTGGTGATCGTCTTAAATACGGTATTCACGTTTTCTGAGTTGAAAGTGGCTTGGTTGGATGTCTTTGAGATAGATATGAACGATTAGAAATAGATACAGCTACGGCATATTACAACAAGTTCTTCCGAGAAATCGGAGTATCTCAGTATAGTCCTATATTTTTAGGATAGACCTATTCTGAGTCAATAGCGAAGATAAAACCTAATGATGATTAGCTTTGAGTTTATCTTTTCACATGAGTTATCCAATTCTTTATCGTAGATTTGTTTTGCATCTGAAGTTAATATGATAGACACTGCAGTACAACATGTAATTCGAGTATATTTTACAAGTGAAACAGTTTCAATTTCAAAATTTTGGAACTGCAACTGTTAGAAAGGATGTTGCATCAATGAATCACACTGAATGTAAAGACATAGAATAAGTGAATATTTTTTTGGGGGAATGAAATTTTATTACAATCCATCTACTATCCTTCATTATATGACATACTTTTCATGAAGCGTTCCTGCATAAGTTAATCATTACGAAAATGGGTATCATGCTTATTTTTACTTAGCAGTCTTATCTACTCAGCATGAAACAGTAGATTTAAGTTCCAGAGTTTTTTTGATAGCTCTTAAACGACTCTAAAAGGGTTAGAAATTATAAGTTTCTAGCTTTAGCGAAGACATCAAACCAAGAATATATCTCAAGATTTCATTGGTTGATGCATATTAATATCAGATTCACTTACAACCGTAATTTTTCATAGATAAATGTTTCTGTAAGATTGATGATTGAAATACTTTTTTGGAAGCATTTTCTGCAATGAAAACTGTCTTGAAATGCGATTAATAAAAATTCATGTGGAAACACTTTTAACTGAGGAAAAAGCAAGTCATAAATCACAATCTTGAATTAGTAGATAGATCTCTATATGTTCAATTGGTTAGAGGATTAGTTCAAAGTATTTCATCGTGACCTCTGCAAGCGACACACTTACAAACTCATACTTTAAAACTCAGATGATTTTTCCAATAGAAAAAGTTAATGCCTTTGAGCTTTCTCTTTTATGGAGGAAAGAAAACGGAGCTCTACATTAAGGTAGCCATGCAACACCAGGCATGCCCACAGATAAAAACAAATGTTCTTGTGAACGAATATGAGCTATCCAATGCTTTCAAAACAACACCTTGTAATATAATTCAGTTCGCATGATTTTTCTACTATGAGTTGCAAGTACATGCCAAGATGTTGGATAAGTGTTAGTTGAATTTCTTTTCTACTGGA